ACCTAAACCTCCGAGGAGGCGGCGCACCATCAGACCCTGACCCCACACAGTGGTCGTTACAGCCACCCACCCCACAAAGGGAAGCGCGCCAAGGCCTGCTCCACGCTCACTGTAGAGGACGCCTTGTCCCGCAGCACTGCCTCCCCACTTCCCTCCTTCCACCCCGCCCAGAACTTCTTCTGGTACCGTTTCCTCAAAGGAGCACTTCATCAGCGGCCCAGTATCCTGGCGGTTGACCCCGTGTCGGGTGATGGCCATCAAGTGGCCGCGACAGGTCATGGTATCGCACAAGAGAGCCAAGTGCCGGTAATTGACATAGGAACCATCGAAGGAGATGACGTGGTACAGCTCCCGCTCCAGGGCCTTCCGCACGGCTTCAATGCCCAACACCTGGTGTGGGGGTCAAGCGTGAAGGGCCAAGACCAAGTATCTCTGCTCTCTTCCCGGCTGCTGCCACCACCCAGATCCACAGAGGGACAGTGAGGAGTCAGTGAAGCCCAGACTCAACAGTGGATTCAGGCATAGAACAATCTGACCAAGGAAGTACCCAGAGGGGACACATGGACTACAACCCCTGCCTGAGACCCAGGGAGAGGGCCTCGAGCCAGAGAGATCCAGGAACGACAGCGGGGCGGTGGACTCTGAGGGGCTCACCGTGAAAATCTCCACAATGTCATTGGACGTGGTGCGCACAGGGTCCACGTCCTTCTCACTCAGCACCCGCATCAAGCTCACACCATCAGTCTCCAGGATCCACTCCTGCAGGGCCTTGAACTCCCCGTCCTCCGTGATGATGATCTTCTTCTTGTTGTCCGTCTGCGGCAGGTGCATGTACACCTGGAGGGACAGCGTGAGCTCAGGCCGGGCGGGGCGGTAGTGGGGAGGAGAGAAGTGGGGGTGGACGGGCTCTCGGGGAGGGAACAGCTGACCTTGCTGATCTGCTCGATCCCCTGCAGGGTCATATCTGTCAGCATGTTGGACTCAATGCAGCGCAGGAAAACATCGTCATCCATCTTGTCCACCACCTCTTCTTCCTGCAACAGGAGTGAGGTCAGCATGCCTAGAACCCTCTGGTAGGCCTCACCTCAAACCACAGCCTCCTCGAGGACCTAGAGAGCCAGGTCAGGCCCAGACTTGCCCTTTTCAGTTGCAGTAAGGTTAGATCACCTTCTATCGTGTTTTTAGGATGGTATTAAAAGAAATCTAAGACAAGACAGCCATATCCACCACCCTAATATAGCTTCTACTGTGTGCATGCACGCCACGCGCTCCAAGGGCTGTAACAAAGCACTCGGTCCTGCCCTCTCGTCCTGACACTCACCGAGCACTTGCCTGGCCTGCTGACGCCCCGACGTGTTATCCCCTCTGATGGGGTGTACGCCCTCAACATGCTCTTATCTAGTCTCAGGCAGTTCGATAGCTAGTAAGTTCTGAGTTTGTATTTAAAGCACCAGGCACCCACATCTGCTGAACAATTTTTTAGGAGCCATGCCCAGGAGTGAAGTCACTAGTCAAATCTCTTCTCGGGTCTTGTTCTACCTGCTGTCACACCACTTTCCCTAGGATATAGCAGTTCCTACTGGCTGCCCTGCCCTCACGTGGGGGCCTCGGGGAGGAGAGAGCAGTGGCAGGGCTGTGGGGACGCCCCCCATGAACGCCGACTACTGCACCTACATGGCTGCTACTTCACATTTCACAGATTTTTGCTGCTAGAAGTTTTTTTTTAAATAATCCATGCAAACTTCATCAATACTGCTATTTTGTATGTAGGAAAACCAAGACATCTCATGAAAAATAAAATTCATCATACAATAAATAATATAGTCAAAGATCTGAAATGGAATTAGCGTCTTAACCATTTCGCATCTTTAACCAATAAACATATTCCTCTTAAGAGGCGGTGAAAAAACTACCTATAACAGAAATGCTGAGAATAAATGTCATTAACAAGCACCATGAAATAAGGAATAGTTTCACACCTCTCTAACCTCTGTATCCTAGTAACTCACATGCCAAGGTAAAAATAATTACGGCTTTTGTTATGGCCTCATGTTTCTTTAAAGCAGTCACTAAAATAACTTCCAATCTGGTAAACCTAATAACTAATGCCGTTTAGTTTTACACTGAATTGTATCTTAATCATCAAGCTAAAGTCATAAAAAAAGAATGACACTGTCACTTGAAGGTTGTCTCAGACTACCATTCAGCATCTAATCAGATGTCCTTAAATTAATCCTGGCAGGAAGTCTAAGAAATGCACGGATCCGTCTCCTAAGCACATCAAGCCAAGTGCTAATAGTTAAAAAAGACAATGGCAAGCAGGAAGGAGTCTATATGCTGTTAGAATTTTGAAAACCAGTGCTAACCACCATTCACTGTTTCTACTTTACGTGGTGTGACCGGCACTGCTTTCATTTTAGCTTCTCTGGTCAGGAACAAGATTTAATGGTTTTCTATGTTTGACGTACGATTTCTCCTTGGTGCCCTTTACCTCTTGCATCTTGTTTTCATCACTGTTCATGATGCGGATCCGGAGCACCAGCTTCTCTGCATTATCATCATTGAAGATGCAGTTCAAGTCGTCGCCGAAACCTGGGGAGAAATGGGAATGATCGCAGCTGCAGGACAGCTTCCGCTCACGGCTCTCCCACAGCTCTCCCCATGCTGAGCTCCCCTAGGCTTCCCCCTTCTTCTCAGAGGGAGAGGAAACGGCGAGAGGAAAGGGCAGTTTTGGGGGGAACCTGGGGAAGAGGTGCCCTGGAGGAGCAGAACGTGTGCAGGGAAGGCGGTGAGCGTGGGCGGCTTGCCTGGGATGAGTGCAGGGGACAGGACAGGGGGAGCCCAGGCAGGACCCCCGAGCTGGGCCTGCCCTCCCAGCCTCACCAGCATTGATCTTTTCGGCAATCTGCTCCATAGTCAGCTTCCGGTCGGTCATGTGCTTCCGGTCCAGCTCCACCCGCAAAAGCCAGGGGGAGATTCGGGCCACGTCAAAGTCAGGCATCTCGTAGTAGACATTCACCCACTCCTGATCCTCTGCCACCACTGTGCTCTGGGGGTTTGGATCATAGTAGATGGCTGTGTTGGCAGTCACCTTCCTCAACGTCGTATGTTCCAGGCGGCACAGAATGTCCTGGGAAAAAAGGGAGACTCATGTCACAGGTATCTCGGTGGCTCCAAAGGCCTCTTCAAATCCACCTGCAGAGGGAATCCCAAAGCCTTCATTTCAACAAACAGTCCCCACCTCCTCCTCCTGCCAGGAAGCCCGTTACTGCAAGCCCTACCTTGGCTCTCTCGGCATCCCGAGCTGACTGGCCCAGCAGGAAGACAGTAAGTGAGGGGGTCTTTGGCTTCTTGGAAATGTTGATGAGCTCTTTAAGTCGGGGCACACCCAGTGTCACGTTCTTGGCGGACACGCCAGCATAGTGGAAGGTGTTCAAGGTCATCTGGGTGGCAGGTTCTCCGAGGGACTGTGCAGCCAGAGCTCCCACCATTTCACCAGGATGGGCCTGAGGAATAAGAAGATCCAGTGTCAGAAAAGAAGATCCCTCCCCTCTGGTGAATGAGGCATAGTCAGGACCAGGACTATCTGCTCTTCAAAGACATGGGGCAGAGGCGCTTGGAAAAGGCAGACTTAAAAAAAAAAAATCAGTCTTTTTTGAGCATCCCCTCCTTCAGACAGCATTTCGATTTACACACACCATTTAGCACCTGATGTGCTGCACACCCAGGAAAAGGTACTAACTACGCCATCTAAAACCCAAATTCCTAAAAGTATGCTAAAGTTACAGGGTAAATATTGACTTGATAATAGTCTTCTACATGGGACGTTCCCGAATGCATTATTTTAATTGAGACATAATCACATACCATAAAATGTAATCTTTTAATTTGAATCACACAGTATGTAGACTGCTTGACATAGTAACACACATTTAAGGTTCATCACTGTCTTTTTTATGGCTTCGATAGCTCATTACTCTTTATCACAGAATAATATTCCCTTATTTTGTTTATCCATTCGTTAATGGACATGTAGCTACTATGAATAACGCTGCTATGAACATCTGTGTATAGGTCTTTCTGTGGACATACGCGCCCAGTTCTCTTGGGCATATTCCTAGAAGTGACACTGCAGGGTCATATGGTAACTCTATGTTTAAACTTATGAGAAATTGCCAGACCGTTTCCCAAAACAGTTGCAACATTCCCACAAGCAGTGCATGAGAGCTCCAATTTCTCCACATCCTCGCGCCAATACTTGTTTATTTTTTCTCTTAACCATCCTAGTGGACATGAAGTGGTATCTTATTGTGGTTTTGATCTGCATTTCCCTGATGGCTAATGCTGTTGAGCATCCGTTCATGTGTTCACTAGTCATTTATATCTCCTTGGGGAAAACATCTATTCAGTTGTTAGTTTTTTTTTATTGCTGACTTGTAATAGTCCTTTTACATGACCCTTATCAGATACATGATTACAAATATTTCCTCCCATTCTGTGTGTTGTCTTTTTACTTTCTTCATGGTATCTCTGAATCAGTAAAGGTTTTAATTTTGATGGCGTGCAATTTATGCATTTTTGTTGTTGCTGCTGCTCATGCTTTGGTACCATACTTAAGAATTCACTGTCTGAGCCAAGATCATAAAGATTTACCCTGGTGTTTTCTTCTGAAAGCATTTTATAGTTATAGTTCTCATACATGAGATAATTTTTGTATATGGTGTGAGGCAGGGATCCAACTTCATTCTTTTGCATGTGGATATACAGCTGTCCCAGCACTATTTGTTGAAAAGACTATTCTTTCCCCATTTAACTGACTTGGTACTCTTGTCAAAAATCAAGTGGCCATAAATGTGAGAATTTGTTTCTAGACTCTTAATTCTATTCTGTTTATCTACACTGATCTATGTATCTTTATATCAACAGCATACTGTCTTACAGTAAACAATCTTATGGTGACCAGGGAAAAGGGGGTGAGAAGGGGTAAATTTGGGAGTTTGAGATTTGCAAATATTAACCACTACATATAAAAATAGATTAAAAAGGCAGCTGGAATTTCATAGGGAAAGTACTGAATTTGTAGGTCACTTTGAGGATTGTTGCCATTTAACAATAGTAAGCCTTCTAATCTTTGAACAGGGGATGGCTTTCTCTTTAACTCTTCCTTAATTTCTTACAACCATGTTTCATAGTATTCCCTAATGCATTTTAATTATCTAATTTATAAAACTGAATTTATATCAAGTGGATTTAGAGGCATGCCTATAATTGTAACGCTTCTCCTTTCCATTACCCTGTAAAATCCTTAAAGACAATGACAGTATATTCTATTATCTATAGCTGTCTTTCCTGCTTACTCCCTCCAGTTCCCTCCCTCCACCTAATTTAGAATTCTGCACATAGCAGACATTTTAAGAAAATAAAGAACACTCACATTTCATATCCCAGCCAACATGCCACTTATTTCCTATATGACCATCATATAATAATACAGTCATATCATCTCCCCAAGGTTCAGTTTTTATGTCTGCAAAGTGGGACAAACATCCCTCACCACTAGGGTAGTCTTAAGACTACTAAGGAATAAAAGGTACAAAGCCCCAAACACAGGACTTGGTACACAATAGTCTCTCAAAGAATGAGTTATTATTAGGTAACTGTGGGCAGAAGTGGGCTGTTCTCAGAGCCCAGAAAAGTCAATAGGTCAAAGAAGAAAACCAAGGCTGAGGTGAGAAGTACAGCACTCACAATTGCTTGGTTGAACTTGGACTCGATCTCTCCAAGCAGCCAGTCAAAGGCTTCTCCACTGAGCCGGAACTCCTCGGCCATGCGGCGGGAGCATAGCGTGGACCGCAGGTGGATGTTGAAGAGCAGGGTGGCGTTCTCCTGGGCCTGTCGACTCAGTGGGTCGTCCCCATTCACAATCACCAGCTTCTTGCTCAGCTCCTTGACTCCTGGGGGCCAAACGGGAGGTGATGAGATTGTGGACCAGGGCCCAGTAGACTCCTGATCCTAGTCTGGCAGCCCCAAAACAAGTACTCACCCTCTACCACCTTGATGGGATGCAGGTCGGAGGGAAGGCGAGGGTTGATGTGGAAGATCTTCTGAGCGTTCCAGATCATGCGCAGCAGGTTGCAAGGGAGGACGACCTGAGGCAAGAGGGATGAGAGGAAGGACCACGGCTCAGGGACAGGCGTGCAGGGCCAGCGCTTCTCCAACCCAGCCCTTCCCGCCCACACGCACCTTACTGTCACCAGTTGGGAAGATGACCCTGAGCACCTCCCGGTCCTCACGCATCCGCTCAAATTCTCTCTCCAGTTCATTCTGAATGTGTGCATTGCTCAGTACGTCCTTCACCAGGTCCTCCTGCAGAGTGCGCCGCAGGGCCCTCTCATTGGTATAATCAAAGCGGAACCTGCAGGTGGCAGGGGTGCAGTCAAGAGACAGGTGGGCCCTGGGCCCTGATCCCAGCAGTGAGCACCAGGAGGGCTCCTAAGGTACACAGCCCACAGGAACAAGCTTTGTAGACAAGAACCCTGGGTGGGGAAATAGAAGATCCAGGCATAAGGACTTTCATTAGGACCTGAGCTTGTGCCTGCCCCTCTGGCCTTGCTTTGTATCAAAACCAAGGACAAAGTTAGGATGATCTCAGCTCCGCTCTCCACCCACCATCTTCCATCGTGCAGCTGCTGCCGGGGGTGGGCATGGGGAAGAGGCAGGGAAGGGGTGGTATAAGGTAAGGTCTGGTGCAAGAACAGTCTAGTGATCTTGTCACGTGTAGGGAGAGGAATCCCCATTACTCTGGCCCTGAGCCCTGAAGTGAGAACCGTATGCCAGCCGCCTCCTCACTTCTTTTCAAAAGCCTTGTTGGAAGGCTTCAGGGTGGCCAGGTTCTGGAACTCGACGCTCTCGCCAGCCAGACCGTCCTCGCCGTAGCGCAGCTGCACCACCTGATTGATGGAGTTCCGCACGGTGGCATCGTACTTCACCATCACCGACTCCATGGACTTGATCAGCCGCCGCTGGATGTACCCTGGGGGAGGTTATTGACTGAGGGACCCAGAGCAAGAAGAAGGGTCCTCCTAACTCAGGACAAGCCTTGCTGGCCACTCTGGAGCCTCAACCCACTCTCGTCCTCAGAAGAGCCAGCTAGGGAAGGGATAAATGGGAGTTCTAGATTTGCATATACTAACTAACATACATAAAATAAACAAGTTTATACTGTATAGCATAAGGAACTACATTCAATATCTTGCAGAAACCTATAGTGAAAAAGAACATGAAAATGAATATATTATGTTCCTATACGACTAAAGTATTGTGCTGTACACCAAAAATTGACAAAACATTGTAAACTGACTATACTTCCAAAAAAAAAAAAAAAAAGCCAGCTAGAAGCCCCTTTTATCGCCAAGGCCTCTCAATGAAACCCATGCCCACCTCCAGGTGGAACCAGGGTCCAGCAGAGACCCCCAGAACTAACCCCCACATGATGTGTCAGCAGCAGAGACCCTGAGGCTCTCTCCCTGCGCCCTGGAATGCTGCACAGCAACCAGAGCAAGCGTGTTTTTCTAACTCTTAACCTTTAATCGCTATTCTTTCCATAAAGGCCAAAATTACTTCTCTGGGAATAGAAGACTTTAGCCTGAGAACCCCTACTCTCACCCACGAGGGGCTTCTCAGACTACGGTTCTCCCTGGTACCAGCCCACAGAAGGGCCCTGGGTCAGAAGGCCTCACCAGTCTCAGCAGTCTTGACAGCTGTGTCGATGAGCCCCTCACGACCCCCCATGGCATGGAAGAAAAACTCAGTGGGTGTGAGGCCGGCCAGGTAGGAGTTCTCCACGAAGCCACGGCTCTCAGGCCCATAGTCATCTTTGATGAAGTGAGGCAGAGTCCGGTGCTTGAATCCAAACGGGATCCGCTTGCCCTCCACGTTCTGCTGCCCGACAACAGCAATGACCTGGGAAACAGAAAAGGTGGGGTGCATCTAACTCTCTCTGTCTTGAGACTAAGAGTTCCCAGGACGTTCCCCTGACTTCCCCAGCAACACCCACCTTCCCTCCTCCTCCCCACCTTCAGTGTGGCTCCACATCTGTTAAGACAAAGCTCCCCACCTGAGAGATGTTGATCTTGGAACCTTTAGCCCCGGACACAACCATAGACTTAAAGTTGTTGTACTCAGATAGGGATTTCTGAGCAGAGGAGCCAGTCTTGTCTCGGGCATCGTTGAGAATGCGGTTCACCTGGTTCTCAAAGGTCTGCCGCAGAGTGTTCCCTGGGGTGGGCTCCAGCTCATTGTTATGCGCCTTCTCGATGACCTGGGTGCAGAGGAAGAGGTCACGTTCTCAAGGAAACATCAATCTCCACTGGTCCCCTTCCCTCCAACCCCAATGCCCCTCTCAGTCCTCCTCAGTTCAAAGTCACCGAGAGCCTCTTGTGTCTTTGCCCAGCCTTCCCTCTCACCTCTATTACATCCTGCTTGGCCTTCTTAATAGTGTTCTGAATGTCCTGGTAAGTCTTAGAGTCAGCGATGGAGTCCCCAATGCCAATGGTATGACCTAGAAATAAGGCGAAGCATCAGCAACACTTCTTTGGATTCCAAGAAACATGGGAGGGAATCACAGTCAAGAGTAGATGGAGGGGCCCCAAATCGAAGGAAGAAAAAGAAAGGAACCTAAGAAGAGCAGTAAGAAGTGAGAGAGCCAGGACTTACAGAGGACTTCATGGAGCCCCTCAGCTTACCCTCAATGAGGAGCCAGTTGTTAATGACAGTCTGAATGTTGGAGTAGAAGAGGCGAGTGATGTCATGACCCATCTCCAAGTAAGAGATGTGGACCAGGGAGCCGGCTGATGTGCCCAAAGACTTCTTGCACAGGATGCCCATGATCAGCTCCCCATTTTCCACCACCACCTGCAGACAGAGCTCATCTCAGGGCCCCTGCTGTGGCTCCCATGTCCAAAGTCTGTCCCCACACATCCAGAAGCCAGGCCCTACCTTGGTGTCCCCAGGAGAGATGTGCTTGTAAGGGCCACTGTCCTCATCATCGGGGTGGGTGCTGTGGGTGCGGATGCAGTTGATGTGGCCAGGTATGATGAGGGAGAAGATCTGCTTCCCGGTCCACAAGGGCCGGGGCTTCAGGATGGCTGGCTGTGGGACCTTGCCGTCCCACGTGGACAGGAACATCAGGAGGTTCATCACTTCCCCCTGGGAGAAGGGCCGGAAAGACAGGAAGTCAGAACTGCCGGCCTCATCTCTGGCGAATGCTGGGGGAGGCCTCCCTGCCCAAAAGGGAAAGCCAGACTTTGGAGGCAAAGAGATGGCAAGAAAAGTGTTTTCCAAACTTTTACTAAAAAATTCACTGTGACAGTGAAGCTTTTAAGATTTTTTTTAATGAAATACAAACTACTTTTAAAAATTAGGAAATAAATGAAAGTAAGAATAAATAGATAAACAGAATTTTAACAAACTCGTATTTACTTTCTCTCTTTGCCTTTACTTTCCAGACAACACGTGAAATTACATGATATTTTAAGGAATTAAATGAGGAGCTAAAGCCACATACCGTTTTCGGCCTCAGTCTGTCCTAATCCCCTTTCCTTCTGCCTCACAAAAAAGGCAGTCTCATGTACAGGTCAGTGCAGAGTAAGGAAGGGCACAAGTCACAGCTCCTCACTGTCCTCGGCCTCACTGTGCTGGGCCCCCGCCCACCCAGGCCAGGACTCACCCCTAGGGACCACATACCCGCTCCAGGAAGACGTCCCTCTTGGTGAACTTGCGCACTGCGGTCAGCGTGTCCTGCACGATGCCCATGACAGGGCGATTGCTTTGCGGGGTTACAATCATGCGTGGCACCATAGCGAGTTCTTGGATCTCAGCCCGAGTCTCCAGAGACTGTGGCAGGTGCAAGTTCATCTCATCCCCATCAAAGTCGGCATTGTATGGAGTTGTCACACTACAGTGAAAGAGGGAAGTCAGAGTTGGGAAGACGTCCGCAGTGAAACCCAGGGAGCAGCCCAGTCCCGGCCGGTGGACTGACCTAAGATTCAAGCGAAAAGTAGACCAGGGGAGGATGCGGACCCGATGTCCCATCATGGACATTTTGTGCAAAGTTGGCTGTCGGTTGAAGATAACAATGTCCCCGTCGCACATATGCCGTTCCACCTGGGCGGGGTGAGGTGCAGAAAAAACCTCAGTGAAGGAGGTATGCCAAGAATGAAGTGATAGAGGACCTAAGATGCTTTGGACACAGAAACTGATAATACTGTGGTCTTGTGCCACTTGAAATGCTTATCAACCATCCTCTTTGGGTCAGGCCCTGGGCTAGATTCCAGGTTATCAGAGATAATTAAGACATAGCACCCACTAACCTCCGGGAACTCTGCTGGGGGAGAAAACCGAGAGACTCAATGTGAGGACTTCTGCTCTGCTCCTAACCTGGATCTCTCTTTCCTGCCATATGTCCCTCATGCTGCCCTTGGATGTATGTGACTGTCACCCTGAATGCCAGTGACTGGCAGCTACAAGCTTGGCTAGGACAGCAGTCTTTTAAAGAGAGTCAGTAAGCTTGGATCCTAAGAGGACAACCTCAGAGGGCCCACTCCAGCCGGCCCCCAGTCAGAGAGCTGGTTGCTCAGATAAGAGAGGTCCTGGCCTGTTACATGCCTTATAGCCAGTCTGCAGGTGAAGGTCACTGGGCTTGGGGTGGAAACGCAGGTCAATGCGATCACCGTTGTCCCGGATGATGTACTTGGCCCCTGGGTACTGGCTGTTCCCCCTGCGCACCAGCTCCTGAAGTCTAGGAAGGAAAGGGATGCAATGAACAAAATGCTTCCCCAAAAATTCTTGTTACCCTTATAACAAAGCCCCACGTGGGAGCCCAAACGGCTAAACTTCAATGCTCTCTCCTTCTTGCTCAGAGCCCATTCTCCCCAGTCTCCCCAGGTCCCTTCAAGCAGGGCTCCTGAACTGAGCACACCTGTCAATGTTGAAGGGGGTGACGATCTCCGCAAAGGTCATGTTGGCGGCAATGGAGCGGGGCACGCCAACCTGGTCAATGGAGAGGTTGGGGTCGGGGGTGATGACTGTGCGGGCCGAGAAGTCCACTCGCTTGCCCATCAGGTTCCCTCGTACACGGCCTTCCTTGCCCTTCAACCGCTGCTTCAGGGACTTGAGGGGACGCCCAGACTTCTGCATGGCCTGTGAGAAAACACAGGGCGGGGGGCATCCCAGCAGTTAGCCCCGGCAGCTCCTCCAGAGCTTGGAGGACACATGCTGGCCCCTATCTCGGCCCCACTCCCTTTCTTCCAGGTTCAGGGCGTGGGGAGCCTTCTGACTCACGCGAGGCAAGCCGGGCAGCTCGTTGTCCACCATGGTGGCCACATGGAACTGGAGGAGCTTCACATCCTCAGCGATGACATGGGCTGCTGCCCCGTTCTGCTCATTGCGCCGAAGCTGATTGTTAATTTTCACAATGTCGGCCAGTTTGTGTGTCAGGTCATCCTGAGGCAGGAAGTCAGCCTCATCACAATCCAGTAACCCTCGAGCGCTCAGCATGCATGTGCCAGCACCCGGCACCTCTCGCCCTCACACCACGCTGAGAGGCAGGCCTGGCCTCTCGGGGCACAGATCCAGAAGAACCTTTGTGAGCTCTAACCTCGTTAAGGGGCTCATTAAAGGTCACAGAACTAGCAAGTGGCAGGGTATCTTCAGGCCCAGGTGACCTGTCCTTCACCTCTGCACACTGCCCTTCACCCCCAGCTTCTATACCCCTTCACCTCTCCCACGGCTCCCTCAACTCAGACACCCAGCCGACCAGCTGAGAGTCCTAAAGCCACTGACCTGGTTGCGGGCAGAGCCCTGCATCACAACCGCGGGCCGCACGGAGAGCGGGGGCACGGGCAGCACAGTGACAATCATCCACTCAGGCCGGGCGTAGCGCGGCTCCATGCCCAGGACAAAGCACTCCTCATCCGAGATGCGTTTGAAGATCTCATGCACCCGCTCGGGACTCAGCAGGATCTTCTTCTCCTGAGAGTCCTCGTTGACATGCTTCCACTCCGCATACAGCTCCAGGCCAGAGCGCCGGATCCTGGGCTGGTACCGCCCGCAGCCACCGTGGCCCTTGCAAGGAGAGAGAGGGGCCGTCAGAGCCCAGAGGACGGGCCTTCTCCCCCAACACCCGGCCGGCCAGCCCTCCCCACTCTTCTGTGTCCTTCGGGTTCCTGCTTCTTCTACTGCCTCCTCTACAGGCCCCTAGCACCACCCCGACCCCTCGACCCCTCCCAACAGTCTGCGCAGCCCCCGCTACCTTTTCTTTGGCCAAATCCTCATCACCCTCGGGCTGCTCCACACCGAACTTGTTGTCCATCTCCTCCCCGCCCTCACAGATGTTCTTGCCCTTGCAGAGGTCATAGACGTGTGTAAGCCGCTTCTTGGGCTGCCCCTTGGACTTAGCCAAAATGTCCTTGATCTTTGGGTTGTTCTGGGGACAGAGCAGAGCAGGGTCAAGTTGGGGCTGCTGCTGTCCCCCAGCAACCCTGCCCCCAGGCCAGAGCCCATCTCCCACTCACAGAATCCACAAGCAACTTAGAGCAGAAAAAGCAGACGCAGCGCAAAACTTTCATTGTCTTCACCAGGAAGCCCACGTGGAATACAGGCTTGGCCAGCTCAATGTGGCCAAAGTGGCCAGGACACTCGGTCATGTTTCCTGTGGGAACACACACCTGACACTTTCCTCCCAGCTCTCACCTCAGAGACCAAGTCTCCAAGTGTCCAACCTCAGTTCTGTTTTTTTCAAGGACCTGAGCCCCTCCTTCCCTCTCTCCCTCTAGGATTCCATGCCGGCCCCCTAGTACTTACCGGCACATGTTTGGCAGCGGCCAGTGCGCTCAATCACCCCCTGCCTTGGGTCCATCAGCCCCCCAAGCTTGGGGCGGCCTCCCTCAGTCGTCTCTGGGTATTTGATGCCACCCTCTGTCACAGACATTCGCTTCTGCAGAAAAGAAAAGCCAAGAACAACTAAATAAGATTCCTAGTTTCCAGGCTTTGTGGTTGAGGAGCTCTGTACCAAGGGCTGAGAGAATCCCAAACTACTTACAGGAAAACTCACCAGGTTTAGCCCGGAATGAGGGGGATGAGGGTGTGTGTTTACCTCTGGAAATGCCAAAGTCGAATATCACAAGTCAAGAGCACGTTTCAGTCACTGTCTTGGGGTGGGGGGCATTTAGACTAGTGTACAGTCAACTCTGGGCCCCATACAAGTCGCCTACCTCTAGGACTTGGACCCTGGACATCCCACTGGGTTGAATGCTAGATCATTATTATCCATAGAATTTAACCACAAAAAAAAAAAGTTGTTTCAAGGAGGTGGGGAATCAATGCCATGATTCTTTCCCAAAGTTAATCAAGGCCAGAATCTGTGTCCCTGGCAGGAACCTCCCTGAAGGCGCAGCCACCTGGCAGCCCAGGTGTTCTGCCCAACACAAGCCCTGACAGCTCTGACTTCAGCTCCTCAAGTTAAGCACTCTTTGCCCCCGCCCTTGTCATCTCCTCCTTCTCAAGGGCCTGGGCCAGCGTGAACCCTCCCATGTTCAGAGGGAGATTTTAGGATAAGACAGGGGGTGCCAGTGTAGAGGGCTGGTGAAAATTATTTGGAGAAGTGAACCCTGGAGCCTCATGAGATAAGAGGCAAAGCCTGTGCATCGCTGGCACTACACCATGTGGGAACAACAGACAGCTGAGTTCAAATCAGGGAACCGCAGTGATTCTGAGTGCTTATATACCAGCTACCCTCTGAAATGCTGCACCTCCGCCCACCACCACATCCCTGCAACTACTCCTGACAATGAGCTCCTCTGCCCAATCCAACAGACCCCTCTCGGTCTTAGCTTGGTGGCCAGTAAGGCACTGAGGATGGGCCACCTCCTTAGAGCTCGCTCTCTCTTCCTACCTCTCTGGCTGCCTCTCTGGAGTCTGCTTCCTAGGCTCCTTTGCCTTGGTCTGCTCCTTAAACACTGCTACTCCCCAAGCTTTTAGCTCAGCCACACTTCTCATCACACCCAAATGTTGTCCCTGTGATGATTTTCACTACTTATGCCCAAATCTCTACCTCTAGGCCTCACCTTTCTTTTGGACTTTGGATTCATACACTGAACTATCTATGAAACCCACCTCCAGATACCCCACCCCCGGATAAATTCAACATGCCTAAAAGCAAACTCCCTTTTCCACAAAAATCTCTCCTTTTCCTTTAGTCTCCAGGTAAGACAGCAGCACTCAAGTCAGAAACCAATAGTGACCCTTCCTTAACCCAAGGTATAAAACAGGAGTCAGAGACCCCTGGTTTGGAATTCTGGATCTATCATATAATACGTGTTCAGCAAGTGACAGCTTGGTGAATGGTACATTCACCAAGTACCGGTCATTTTTGCCTCCTAAACAGTTCTTGAATCCGGCCCCTCTTCTCCATCCCTACACCCAATGCCCTAGGCCAGGCCTTCCCTTTGTAGTCTACATCAGAGCGTTCCCTAGGTCACCAGCCTGCCTCTCTCCAGTCCATCCATACTATAATCCAGGTGCTCTTTCTAAAATGGAAATCTAATTTTCATATCCTCTTGTCCTCAGCATAATGTCCAAATTCAGCAGGACAGCTTACAAAAAGAGTTTTATGACGTCCCTACCTTCCTTTCTTCCTGCCCGTAGCAGAGCCCCCAATGGACCCCTCTTGCCCAGCAAATTTGCTGCTCTCCTTGGAGTCCTCGTACATGTGATTATCTCTGCTTGGAATGCCCTTCCCCACAAGCTTGCTATTTCAGGACTCAGCTCAGGCATTGCTTCTTTCAGAAAGCCTTTCCACAGCCTCCCTAGACAGACTAATGCTGCCTCTGTACTTCCAAAACCTCTCTACCACTGCAAGTCTCACAATGCAAAGGAATTATCTATTGGGGTCTGTCTTCCCCACAGATGACAAGCATCTCTAGGGCAGAAGGCATTCCTCTATTATCCTGGATCCAATGCTCTCGATGTTTGTTAAACTGAACTAAACTCCTCAGGACCCTCCACCACGAAAGTACCCTCAAAGAACTTGAAAAAAGAGAGAAGGTTGTCCCCTGATGGTCAAACCAACAATCCTCTCATAATGGATCTGATTAGCCACTGCTAAGTAGAAACAGATGCAAGGCAAAAGAGGTTCTGAACACCCACAGCACTCATCAAGGTGGCCTGATGAAATCTCAGGGAGACAGACCTGGTGGTGCTGAAATTCACAAAGCCGGAGCCCTATCAGCTGCATCGTGTTTTATGAGAAACACAAAGAAGAGGTTTGCTCCCCTTAAATGAAACACAAAAAAGCAGAAGCAGGCCTGACTCTGGCTGCCAGAAGAGTCACTAGCACCAGAGAGAGGCCTCATGGAAATCATACTCGAAACTTCACCTCCCTCTGCTCCAAGTCCATGCTCACCAAGCCAGTCACCTTCTAAGGAGTCACTGTGCTTCCAGGCACTGAGACTGGGCCAGGGGTTGTCCTGGACTAAACGTCTACTTTAAGTTAATGAATTATATTTTGGATTGTACACAAATGACTTTAGCCCCCAGTCCTTCATCCAAACACTGGTTCTCACTGCCTACATGATAAAAGTTAGACTCTTGAGAGGGTAGCCAGTCCCAGAGGGTGCCCCTGAGGTCACAAAACCAATGGCCTGCCATAGATTCTCAGTAAATACTTATTCTCTTTCTTCTGCCTTTAGCAAAGCACACAAGGTCCTTACAACTTGGCTTCAGCCCATTCTTACAGCTTTATTTGGCACTACATTCCCCTCCTCACCCTCTACATTTATGCCCCAACTGTAATAGATTTCTCAAAATTCCTTTTCAAGTGCTCCTTTTTTCCAGTAAACTTCTCTTCGTTTTTAAGACCCAGTTCAAATGCTACCTCTTTATAAAGTATTCTCTAACTTCTTAGCCTTACCCACACCCCAGCAAGGTTCTTAGCCCAACTTTAATTACTTGTTTACACATTTGTCTCTCCCATTGGACTGTAATCCTTGAGGGGAAGGATCATGTTTATCTTTATATCCTCAGTGCCCAGCAAAGTAACCAGCACATGGTAGGGGTTCAGAAACTATTTGGTGCACAGATAGGAAATCCTTCACTGGATTATAAATAATTTGAGGACAAGGATAATCTGATTCACCACTGCGGCCCACACTCTACCTAAACGAGTGTAATTACTGTTTTAAATCCTTCTTGGAATAAGTTGAGGTACAAACAAATTGAGTTACGCTTTCCATGGTGGACAGTTGCCTTTAATGACTAGGGGTCAACTCCTTCAAATGTAATCAAGAGCCCATCCTTCCCGACTTTGTACAAGCTGCACATAAACCCTCCTTGCTTCCTTCCCCTCACTCGGCAACATCCTAACCCATCTTACAACAGCAAAGACGGCTGCTCTGTCTTGCACCCAATTCTAAAAGCCCTCTGTACTTTGACACACTCCACAAAACTTGTGGAAAGTATTCTACCTTTAAGTACTACCAGTGTCACAAGAGGCCCCTTATCCACCTACCTTCCTAACCAAAGTGGAACTAAATTATTCCCTCTAAACACTGGAGCACTATATAAACTGTAAAAGCCATGGAGAGCAAAATCAGTCTCCCATAATCCTACATCTCAGAGACGATGTCTGTAAAGTTCTGTGAACAGCCTTTCATGCTTTTTAAAAAAATACAAATATGTTCCCATTTTTACATAAATGGCGCCTCATTGTGCACACTGTTTAACTTTTTCATTTAATCAGATGCCTGAACTTCATCAGTTCACAATGCCCTGAGTGCCTCACTAACTTTCACAGCACTCCCTAGGCCAAAAGAGATCTGCTTGTTAAATACTTAGATCCAAACAACTGAATAAGTATTACAGCTCAGCAACTTAACAGTCATTGGAAAAAATAATACACGTAAACTGAAAAAAATATTCTTTTAACATAGTAAAATAAAAATAACATTTTTATTTCCCAAATCACCACAATTACCTATGACACCTGCTGGGCACTGCACTTCTCAAATCTTAGAATCAGATTGGACACCACCACCTTTATCTCTTGCTCTATACTGATTTTTGCCTAGTATTTAGCAATTGCTAAAAACCCAGCTTCACAAAGGTATGACGTCATTGAAAGGGATTTGGCGCCATCTAATGCTAAAAGGGAACCACCCGTTCTAGTAGGTGCCAGGGCATCAGGCTTCTATGTTTCTCTTGAATATTTAAAATCTCTCACTGGGCCCCTGTGAGTTTGCGGTGATGTCTGAGCCATCTGGGAACAGAGGATCAGGGGATTTAACCTATTAGGAAGGTCTTGTTCTACTGTAACAGACACTGAGTTATTCAATAGGATTCCTATTAGTAAATATTTAGGTGATTTATAGTTTTAAACAATTTCATTTTCAAACAATCTTGCAATAAAATTCCTTCTATATGTATCTTTATGTACTTGTGCAATTAATTAATTCATTCATTTATTCAAGTAACTTTTATTACATGCCTGTTAGATGCCACGCACCATTTGAGATGCTGGACAAGAGATGAATACAAAGTTCCTTATGAAATTTACATTCCACTGAGGCAAGAATCAGAAAAACTAATCCTTTTAGGTACTGACCAGCTACAAAGTAAAATAAAGTCAAGACTCGGGATTAGAGAATGCAGGGGGATGTTACTTAACAGAGTGGTCGGGGATGAGCACCTAATGATACGACATCTGAGCAGAGAACACACTGACAAAGGAACAGACCTGCCCAGGTCTGAACAATGTTGTTCTAAGCAGCAGAACAGTGAATAATGAAGTCCCCGAGGCAAGAATGAGCTCCTAGCGCTGGAAGAACAAGCAGGTTAATGTAGTTAAACAGCAAAAAGAAGATCGTAGTGAGATGGGAAGGCAAGCAGGGGCCAGATAATACAGGATCTCAAGTAAGAATTTAGATCCTTTGAAGAGAATTCCATGCAAGAAAAGAGACATGATTACAAGATCTCTCTGGTTGATCTGCAATCTGCAGGAGGAACAACCAGGGGCCAGGGCGACTGCAATGCTCCATTGGAAAGATGATGGTGGGGTGGACCAGGGTGGTCCACGTAGTCATAAATGACTAGATTCCAGACATATTTGGTTTGTTTGTTTGTTTGGGGGGGAGAGAGGTAATTAGGTTTTTATTTATTTTATTTTTAGTGAAGGTAAGGTACTGGGGATTGAACATATTTTGAAAGGCAGAATTGACAGACTGGCAGATGGACTAAGAGGTTGTGAGAAAAGAGAAGACACAAAAAAACGTTTTTAGGTTTTGGGCCTGAGCCCCGGATGAATGGTGGAGCCAGTGATTGCTAAACCAGGCAAGCCTGGTGGGGGGCGGGGGGTGGCATGTTCAAGGGGAGACATTAAGAGTCTTTTATTTAAGAATACATTCTGAGAAGTGGCGTGCTGGGCCAAGGAATACACATATTAAATGACTCATAAAAGTGTCAGATTGTCCTCCAAAAAGGTTAAATACCAATTTATCATCCTACGAACAACAGTCTAAGCATGCCTATTTCCCAATATTTTTGTGATCAGGAAAAAACCAGATAAGGGAAAACTTTAATGTTTTAATTAGTATGTTTTTATTTGTAAGCTGAATATTTTTATTGGCCATCTGTAGTACTTCTGTGCACCGCCTATTCACATCCTTTACCCATTTGTCCAGTAGATGTGTGCTTTCCTTACTGAACTGTAAGCGTTCTTTGTATATTTAGAAATTTAACCTTGTTGGTCACACAGCAAATCCTGTTTCCCAATCTGTTTTTTAGCTGCCCGTGGTGTCTCTGATAAACAGAAGCCACTCTTATTTTTATGTAATAAAATCTGCCTTATTCTTTCTTGTAGATAAAACGCTTAGCTTGGTGCCCTACCACATCATAGGCACTCTACAAAATTTACCAATAATCAATTCATTACTATAAGGGTTTCTGCCCCTGGTATCAGCCCCCAAAAGCCTTCTATATTTTTCAAGTGCTTTATAGTTTTGTTTTTTAGATTTCAACCTTCACTCCATCTGGAACTTATTCTGTGTGCTGTGAGTTCAGGAGGTTCTAACTCCTGACACAACTTTCATACTGAGCCACCTCCTCCAACAAAATTGTCTCCATCCACAAACACAGCCATTCAATTCCACTCTCTCCAGCCAACTGGCCTTCCTTCCACAGAGGAAGGAGTCCAAGTTGCCAACAGCTCTCCCTCCTCCCTGGTTGCTCCTGCTTCCATTCTTAGCCCTCCTCTTCAGTCAGTTGTTCACAGGACAACCAAGTTAGTAATTTTTTTTTTGTAAATATAAACTTAATGTCACCTCTCCTGCTTAAAATTCTCCAACGACTTCCTACTGAAAACAATGAAATTCAGATCTCTTATCATTATCTACACTATCCAACCTGGCCTGCCCCACCTCTTGCTTCTCCAGCTCATTTTGAAAACTCTACTCATCCACTAAACCCCAGTTACACTGGGCACCGTTCAGTCCCCTGGGACACATCCAGTTAACTCCTCCCTCAGGCCCTTTGCACTATTCTTTCCTCTGAGTGAAGACCTCTAGTCCTAGAATCAATGGCCTAGGACAGTGGCTGTTTCTCATCATTCGGGCAATGTCACCTCCTTAGACAGGCTTTTGCAGACCCTGACACCACCCCGCCTAAAGTAGCCTCATCTCGGTGACTCTCCATCGCATTACACCAATTCACTTTATTCAAGGTCCTTGCCATTAATGAATTATCCTGTTTATATCACTCATTTGTGTTTATTGTCTGTCTCCCCAGCCTCTTCCCACAGAAAGTGCTCCAGAAGACAGGGTCCTTGTCTGTCTTGCTTAGCTCTGCATCCCCAGTGTGTCATGTCTATCACATAGCAGGTGCTCAATTAATATTTGTAGAAGGGGGAGGGAAAAAATCTGGGGCTCAGCTTCTCATCCAAACTTGCAAAGGCTCCCTAGCATTGGTGTGATCCCGTTTAACGTCGGTAACTGCGGCGTGGAGCCAATCATCCTTTTCTTCCTCCTTCCCACACTTCAGCCCCTCCCGTGTCCAGGTCCCCAGCTCCGACACAGAGCTAAGCTTGCTGACCCACTAGAAAAATATAACTGCGAGGCCGCAAGACACTGCCTCAGCGCCGATAACCCTTCCTGCCTGCCGGTTCCCCTTGGGCAGCGACTAGAGCCAAATTTCCGCAGCGCCCATCACGCCCCGCCCGCAGCGCGGGAGGGAGGAGGAGTGGGAGGGCAGAGCCGCTTACCAGTTCATCCGGACTGAGGACTCCGAACTGCACTCTCTTGATGGTGCGCAGCGGGCATGCGCTGTCCCCGGAGGGGGGGCCACCCCCGTGCATCGCGGAGGCAGGCGCGCTGCGCAGGCGCAAACCTCACTACAAAAAGCCTGCGCCGCCTCCACCTAGGTGCTCAGACCCCGTCGGGGCGGCCGCCGGGAAGGACCTCCCCGAGTTGGGAGAAAAAAGCCGGAGGAGGGGAAAGGTGGGGGAGGGAAGGAGGCGGGGAAACGAAAAGGGGCGAAAGGAGCTCTCCTCCGCCTTTCCGGAGATTTTTCGTCTCCCAAAAAGAAAAAAAAAAAAAGAGGAGGGGAAAGGAAAAGGTTTTGGGGGAGGAAGAAGAAAAAGGGTAACGAATAAATAAGTAACCAGGCTCCTGAACGGCAGAGGTTACGGCAGTTTGTCTCTCCCCCTTCCGGGAGCCACCTTCTTCTCCAACCGTCCCGGCCGCGCTCTCGGCGCTTCTGAGGAGCGAACTGGCCGAATGACGCCCTTTATAGATTCGCCCCGGCATCCCCCGCCCCTTCCTTTCCCGCCCTCCCTTGCGCTACGGGGCCGCCTGCGCCGGCGTGCAAGGGGCGCGCGCTGGAGTCGTTGATCCTCCCTCCCCGGTTCCCTGGTTGGGTGACCTTTTGAAATGACGAGAGGGAAGGGAACGTTTTTATCCCGCCGCCTCCCCTTGCTACTCCCTCCTGCACTGAGGTTTAAGTTTTGAAGGATCGAAGGTAAATATAAGCTGGTTTTATTCTAGTTTGGAGTGCGTTTTCATCTTCAGCCAAAGTTTCTTATTAATACCACCACCCCCCGCTAGAAAATGGTCTGTTCTGAGAATCGGTAATGAAGGAGGCGGGGCCGGTCATATCCTCCTGAGTGGGTTCCCCAAGGGGGGAGTGCTGGGGCCGTCCTTGGTCATGAATATGCAGCAATCGCGCTGAATATGCAAGAACAGATCAAGATGGCGAGGCCAATTGCTGGTCCGGAAGTAGCCGATATGTATTGAGCGGCCTCCTGGGACGGGGGTGGGGGGGGGGCATCTCCTAGCCTCTGATGGAGCGCTGTACGGAGCTCTTGTCATGGACCCCCTGCCTTAGCCGGTCGAAGAGGCCTCAGCTCAGAGGCCTGCTCCGAAAGGACGCTGGCCCCTGTCCGGGAGAGATCACGGGACCGCGACAATCCAGGAAAAGCAGATTAGCCATGGGGCGGGACACAGAAATCCTAGGGGACTCGGGGTCAAGGCATCTGAACATTAGGAAATCCTCCCCCTTCTAGAATATTTCAAAAATAAGATGGGGTTAGGGGGGTGTGGGGATCCCAAGGGATTCTCCAATGAGAGCAGAGAGTAGGGCTTCCACTGTCCTTCCAAAGCAGAGATGACACCAACTGCACAGCCACATTCAGAGTGGTCGTGTTTGATGTCAATATAACGTCACCACCCCAAGGTGGGGAGGCATAACCACGAGGAAGGGAAACCATTGCTCGGGGGGGGGGGGGAAACACACTCCTTTCTCCAGAGCAGCTGCTTGCTCTGTTTGCCTGAAAGCCCCAAACACTCCAGCCCCGAGGCTCTGCTATCTGCTGCCGAGGGAAGAATCCTCCCCATGGCTTATGGCCTGCCTGCCTGCCTGCCTTAGTCCCTTTGATCTGCTCCTCAGATCTCACTTACCCCTTAGTTATGCCCTGATCCCCAAACCCCAGCCTAGACTCCAATATCTTGGTCTCCAGGCTTGTTCCAGGTCTTCTAGACAGTCCCTCTCCACCAAGTCCCCAAGTCACCTTTGACTCCAAAGGGTGTTCCTCTCCCATACCAGTTGTTTTCCAGTCACTTGTTCTCCCATATTTGTATTCCAGTCTTTCCTTTTATTTACCCCTGACCCCCGCCTCAGGCTCTCAGGTTCGATCTCACTCCTCCACCTGCCCTTCCCTCTCACAGCTGAGGTTCTGGGCGGTGATGATGGCAATGCTGCCCAACACCACTCCTGCCCCCATGATGTTAGAAGGTGCTACGGTCTCATTGAGCACATAATACTGCAGCATCAGGGCCACCACCACCTCAGAGTGCAGGACGGTGCACACTAGGGTGGGATGGGCCTTGGCGACCGCATAGCACGGGCACACAAAGAGACAAGGGCATAAATCCCCACTGTCCACACACAGCTCCAACTCAGAGGATCATTGGGCAGCACAGGGGTCTGCTGCACAAAGAGGCCCAGCACGGAGCCCACCAGCCCCACCAAGCCAAACAGGAAGGCCACTGTCGGTAGGCAGGAGGGAAAGTCTGGCGACAGGGCCAGGCCACCCAGGAAAGTGAGCACGTAGCCCAGAGTGGTATAGAAGCCCATGATCCTCTTTTGCAGTGTCCCTAGCCCAGGTCCCACAATGATGATGAGTCCCAGGGTGCTGTCCAACAAGCACACTAGTCATAGCCACTGAGATGCTGGTTCTTAAGACAAAGGGCAAGGAGAGCAGAGCAGACGGTGGAAGAACCTTTGTGGATGGTGGCAGCGTTGCCAGTGGGCACCATCTGAACTGCACTGTAGGTGCATCCGATGCTGAAGACTCTGAGCAGGGCATGGAGGCAGGCCTGGCCCCGGACATCGGGAGGTCCCAACGGTGGATCACCATGCAGTTTAAGCAGCAGGGCAATGGGGAGGTGGAAGAAGCATCGAAATCTGAGCAGCTCCAGCGAGGGTAAGTGGGAAGCCTGGTAAGCCACACGGGAGAAGAGGCCCACGAAGCCAGTGGGCAGGCCCCCACCCAGCAGGGCCATGAGCAGGCCCTTGGTGGCATCAGAGGGCCGGCAGCACTGGTGCAAGGGGAGGCTAGGCGGAGTGGAGGGAGGTGATGGCTGGGTGAAGTTGGGCAGGTTGAAGTAGGGGTGACTGGCAGCCTGTTAGGGAGAAAGGAGCTCGGGCATTAGGGCAGCCATAGACCAGGGGACCTGGGGCAGTGTGAATGCCGGGCTGGGTTCTGGGAACCTGTGGGACAATAGAGGGTCTTGCTAAGGAACTCTTGGGAGCTAGAAAGGGCCTGAAAGATGGATAAGGTGGTACATGTGTGCCTTGAGCCTCTAAAGCAGGAAGCAGGGAGTGAGCAGTCCTGGAGCATCCTGTTTCTCTGGGTCACCAGGGATGCTCTGTTGGTTTGAGGAGGAGAGGGAGCCTTAGATGCTGTGTGTCTGTGTGATGTCACAGGTTCCAGGGACATCTGGGTACACGATTATGAATTTCACTTGTTGGTGTCTAGGATAATTGGGAAGTTTTAGGGGAGGAAGGGAAAGCAGCCAGGAGCTACAGGGAGAGGAGCTATGCTCCCCTGGCCCCCACACTCACCATCTTTCCTTGGACTTCCTCCTCTCCTCCTGGCTCAGGGAGACTGGGCCCTTCAGAACTCTAGCCATTGTGACCTGGGGTTCTTCCCTGGAACCTTCCTGAGGTGGAGAGTGGGAGGCTCTTCCCTGGAACCTCCTTGAGGTGGAGGATAGGCCTCTTTTCTCGTTGTTTCTAAGTCTCCTTGCTTTACACCTTTGTCCCTGTCACTCCAAAGTCCATCTGATTCTTTTTTCCTCTTTTTGACTACTTTTGTGATGAGACATCTTTGGTTTTTAATTAACTTGTTTGTTTATGTCTCGCCCTGTTTCAGAAAGGTTTTTTTGCAAAGGACCTCTGCGGGCCAGCTCCTATGTCCTGAGTTTTGAATTTTTGAACACCAGGGAGGAGTCGCAGAGACTGTCCCTCTGGAGTTTCAGGAATGTGTTTCTTCTGCGTGTGCCTCCACCTGGTGGTGTTGGTGCTGTCCCAGGAGACCTACACCAAGGCTTCTGCATTTACGCACAGTATATAGATGTGGATATTTCTGCCGGTGGGGACAAAATAGCAAGCTGCGTGTTCATCTGCGCTGGTAGTCATTTATGTGTACCTGTTCTGTAGGGCTGGGGCCTTCCCGGCCGGCGGCCTGGTGGGGTTCCCGGTGCATTTCTGGGGAGAGTGTGTGTTTGTGCGTGTGTCCAGGGCTGTCCCTGTGGGTAGGTTGGGCCTGGGTCTGCGGGTCCCACTGGGCCTGATTGTGAGCCTGCCACGTTGTGTGTCTGCGGAGAGAGTGTGCGTGCTCTGGGCGGTGTGCACCGCTGAGTGAAGGGCATGCAGGGGGCGGGGGAAGCCCCTTCCCAGGGAGTAGGTGGTCGTGCGGCCCTGAACTGATGCTGCAGCCAGGCCGGCGCCCGGCTCGGTGCCCACCAGTCCCGCGGCCCTGCGCGGCGCCGTTTCCTTCCCGGGATCGGTCCGGACGCAGGCCGTCGGGCGCGCTCTCCCCAAGCCCGAGCCCGGAGCTGGTGTCTGTGCC